AGGCAGTGGGCGACACAGATCATAGGGGGTCACATGCGAACCCTACCCCTACCCCCCACGATTTCTGGGGGGGAGGGTGGGGTTCACTCCGTTCGGTCACCCTCCCCGAACGAAGTGAACCCCGAACGAAGTGAACCCCACCCTCCCCCTCAGAAATCGTGAGGGGTAGGGGTAGGGGTCGCATGTGGCCCCTTACGGAGGTCAAACCGTCTCGCGAGCCGTCCACTCAGACAGTGGGCGACACAGATCATGCGTTCGAAGCCATTCGGCAGTGAGCCATGGGGGGAGTGAGAAGGAAAAGGCCTTCTCGGAAGGCGGCGGGACTTCTCAGAAAGGCGTCGCGCCTCCTGAGAAGTCTTGTCTGTCTTCAATGAAGGCTTAGAAAACTTCTCAGAAGGCCGGGGGACTTCCGAACCTTCTGTCTGAGAAGGCCTTCTCCTTCTCAACTCCCCGCCACGCTCGCCGCCGAACCATGTTGGAGAGGATACACGACATTCAGACCATTGTGATGGAAACTCGGGCGAGCGTCTTGTCTTTCGGGTGTGCGGCCAAGCTGCCAGTCTCGCAACAGGGGCGATTGGGGTGTGAAGCATGTTCCTTTCAAGAGGCTCCGTAGGCGCCGGCGCCGCAGGTTCAAGTAGCTGATTCCTGCAAGCCCAAAGTGGACACGGACAAGCGTGAACGTTCTCCTTGTGAGCTCAATCAGTATTCGGTCGCGCAGGGAGGAAACAAGGAAGCTCGACCTTCTCATAATGGGCGAAGACAAAGCAACCGTATGAATGGAGTCAGAGCAACGTGCCATGGTTTTGCACAAGTTGCTGCTGACTTGTACTTTCCCTGTTCTTGCAATCCACTCGGGCCAGGACCCCGACTCCAATGAGAACCTCAGCAACCTCAGCAGTTTCGAGAGCGAGGAAAAGGGCAAGAACTCGATCATGGTTCTTTATGATTGCCCCAGCCCCCCGTCGAACATGCAAAAGTGGCTCCCAAGGTCATCAATTACGGCATACCTGATAGCAGCGAGGCCTACGTACGCCGAGTAAGTAGGGGTTTTCGGTTCCATGGCGAGTCGATCGGTCATCAGCTTTCTGGCCGCTTCAGAGGACGAAGGCGTGCTCGCAGAGGACCAGGACCGCTTCAACATCACCATCGCCGAAGGCAATGGAAGACGAGGTGACATTTTTCTCGGCGGTTGCAGCTAAGGTTTCGGATAGCTGAAAGGGCAGTCACGGCAATCGGTGAGAGGCAGCAACCAGGCAGCACAACCTCCCTGCAGCCCCGCCCTCCTGTGTTCGCTCTTCTGGGGGAGGCGGGGGAGTAGAGGAGTCTAGCTGTGTGCGCGTGTTGGTGCCACTGTGAACCCTTGCGTACGCGTGTATAGTTAGGAACGGAGGAGGAAGGAGGATCTCACCTCCCTTCCCTCCCTCTGGTGAGCGTTTTCATATTCGGCGTTTCGACATGGGGCAGAAGGGGGGGGAGGGGGGGGGCTCCAGACCTCTGCTTACTGCGCCTGTTTGCAGCAGTGCGTCCTGTGGGGGAGACTCCACCTGCTGCTTGAGACAGGCGCAAACCACAGCTGAGATCTACTCCATGGGGGGGTAGGGAGGGTGCGAGGGCCCGCGCCGATCGGCAAAACGATGAAAAAGAAAAACGATCACAAGCATCCCTGAACATAATTGTTTGAATGGGGTCTAGTATGCAGTGCATGGTTGGCTGTTCGAGGTCCCAGGGAGGACATGGTGCAGAGGCGACCGCCCTGACAATGACTCGCCATCGAAGGCGGGAGACTTGCAACCTGATTAGGCACGGAGCCCGAGAGGCCAGGTTCACACTCTGGAAGGGGTTCCCAGAGAGGAGATTCAGGAATAGAGGATCACGGCGGTTCATTGACTTGGGCACTCCCTCCCTTCCCCTCCGTGCCGCGCCAGCGTAGCGCAGGAGCACAGGAGCTGGGTTGTGTTCCCTCTCCCTTACTCACTATCCCTCTCTCTACCCCTCTTTCTCTCCTTTCTCTCCCCCTCCCCCGTGGCAGCTCGAGCGCGTGCTGCCTTGTGCTTCCTGCTCGCTACCGTCGGACCTGCTGCGAGATGTGCTCGGAAACGGACGCGAGGACGGGGGGGGAAGCGGCGGGATTGGACGAAGGAGCGAGGCGAGGAGGACTCCAGGCAGAGGCGACACGAAAAGAACGCCCCCCTCAGTGCGGGCACCCCGTACCCGAGCAGCTCACAGCAAGCTCGCCCCCCACCCCCCCCCCCCCCCCCCCCCCTCCGGCTCTCCTAAACCCCCCTAGGTAGCGGGCAGCTCCTGTGAGGCGGAGCCCGCCCCTCCAAGTTCCGTGGGCGCACTCCGCGGCCCGTAGAACCTAAGCACATCCTCAGCCTTCTTCCTCCTCCTACTCACCTCCTCTCCTCCTCCTCATCCCTCCTCCTCTTCCCCCTCCTCCTTCCTCCCCCTCCGCCTTCCTTCCTCCTTCGCCTCTCCTCCGCCTCATCCTCCTCCTTCATACCTCTCCTCCTCTCGCCTCCTTCTCCTTCCTCCCTCATTTTCATCCTCCCTTTCTCCTCTTTCTCCTCCTCCTCTCCTCCTCTTCCTCCCTCCTCCCTCCCCTCCTCTCCTCCTCCCTCCTCATCCTCTCCACCTCCTCCCCCTTCCCTCCTCCCCCTCCTCCTCTAGTCCTCCTATCTACTCCCTCCTCCTCCCTCCCTCCTCTACCTCCTCCATCCTCCTCCTTCCTCCTCCTTCCTCTCCCTCCTCCTCCTCCTCCCTCTCCTCCTTCCTCCTCCTCCTCCCTCCTCTCCTATCCGTCTCCTCCCATTTGCTCCCCCTCCTCCCTCATCTTCATCCGGCCTCACTTTCTCATCCCCTCGTCCACCTCCTCCTCGTCTCCTCCCCTGCTTCCTCTTCCACCACCATCATCATCATCATCCTCATCTCCACTCCTCATCATCTCCTCATCCTCATCCTCATCCTCATCCTCATCCTCATCATCATCCTCATCCTCATCCTCATCCTCATCCTCATCATCATCATCATCATCATCATCGTCATCATCATCAGCATCATCATCATCAGCATCATCATCACCATCATCATCATCATCACCATCATCATCAATCCTGCTCCTCCTCTTCCTCTTCCTCCTCCTACTCCTCCTCCTCCTTCCCTTCCTCCTCCTACTCATCCTCCCCCTCCTCTTCCTCCTCCTCCTCTTTGTCCTCCTCCTCATCGTCGTCCTCCTCCTCCTCCTCCACCTCTTCCTCTTCCTCATCCTCCTCCTCCTCGTCCTCCTCCTCCTCCTGCTCCTCCTCCTCCTCCTCCTCCCCCATCCCGAAAACCCACGCATGCTCTCGACACCAGCCTCTGGGGCTCGAGGCAGGTGGGACCGGAGGGCCGCGCCGCATCGCCAGTACATCGGGGCTGCACCGGCGCGGGCTCCGCATCCGAGCCGCATCGCCGAGGCATCGGCGAGGAGGCAGTGGACGCATACGCTGAGAAGCCCTGCTATACGACACCGTGGGGCTCAGTCGGCCTCGATATGCGAGGGCCCAGTTGCGCCCCAGAGCTTCTCCGGGTCCCCCGGGGACCACCGGGGGAGAGGACGGTTCCGTGGGGGCACCTGCTTGCAAACCGATCATGTGTACTTTTTTGTCTATCTGATTTGCCCACAACGCTGACTTCGGATCCGCGGTGCTTTGGTCGACTTCCCGACTTGCAGTTGTGTCGGAAATGCATCCGCGAACGATGCGACAACCTGGGACGGACATGTCCGCCCCGGCAAAAGCCGGGCGGAGATGTCGGCAAGGGGTGGCGGAAACAGCGGCGGCAAGGCAGGGCGGCAATCGACGTCCGAAGAGCTTGACAAGCGGAGCGGGAATTCCCACCTTGCTCACGGCGTCGCCCAAAGCAGGGCGGGTCCGAAGTCAGGCTGAACTCTGGCCCCCTCTGGGGGGCCTGGAGGCCCTCGACGACGACGGCGCAGACCAGGCGCAGCGCAAGGCTCCGAGCGCACCCGTGGGCGGGAGGGAAGCAAAAGCAGGGCGGATATCTCAGAAAAGGTATGGCGGAAACGGCGACGACAAAGTAGGGCGGAAAGTGACGTCAAAGGAGCTTGAAACGTAGGGCGGTACTATCTGCCCTACCTACGAAAACGTCTACAGTACGGCGGATCCGACATGAAGGCGCTACCGCTGCCCATGGCTTCGACCTCTGGGTTCGGAAGCAACTCCCGGGAGGCCTTCGCAAAAAAAATGAAAGGCTGCCGAGCCCGATTCGGGGACCACCGAACCCGATGACGCCGGATGCTGCTGGGGAGAGCCGCAGCAGCCCGTAATTATGCTTACTGGAGTTAAGCGGCGTGATGCCCGATAAGCCTGGTGTTTGTGACCACGGATGAACCAGCGCCGATGCTGAATACTAAGGGGGAGAACAAGGAAGTAAGACACATGAACATAATTTGTTCTGCGCCATCCTCGTAAAGGCCGCGCATTCGCTCGTAAGGTGATGCCGATCTCGCTTGTATTATACAACCTCCGGGGAGTTCCATCCTCACCTGCAGACCGTCGCTGACAGGCCGCCGTGGGGACCCCACCAGCGCGTTGCTGCTGAAGCAGCACCAGATCTTCGCACGAGCGCGAAGGAGCAACAGGCTGGCGGGCTCACGAGGGCGGCGTGCCGTTGAGGCCCTCTGTCTCCATCCCGGACCTCACCGTGTCTCGCTCGGACCTCTCTAACTCCCTCTGCCTTGCGTAGAAGAAGAAGAAGAAGAAGAAGAAGAAGAAGAAGAAACAACAACGCCATGAACGCAAACTTCTGGCAGTCCGCGTGGATTTCTTGGATCTGAGCTGGACCGGAGCGCGCCAAGGGCGGCGTCGGCGGCGCCGCCGTGGGGGCCCAGCACGGATCCAAGAAATCCGCACGGAGCGTGCTTGCGGCGTTTCTTCTTCGTGCTGCAGTCTGCTGCGGCTGGAGTCTGCTGCGCGAGAGGGCGGGAGAGCGCGCGCCTGATGTCCTCTCTGCAGAGCCGGGCAAACTCCGGAGAGCCAGCGGCGCCCATGCCGGCCTGGCACCGGCGGGGGTGTGGGCAGGACTGGCCGGAGCAACGTGAGGCGAGGAGAACGAGAGCGAGAGCGGGCGCTTGGCCCGATGATCCTCAGAACGTGTGTTGGCCCCAACGTTTGCTTGTCCATCGAGGCCCTTCGATACGACGCAGGCGATGTGATGATCTACTGGTTGGGCTGAAGGGAGTAAACACACATTGGGTCAACACACGTCCTGAGGATCATCGATTGGCATGGAGGAAGCAGGTCCTGAGGGAAACGTGTCCTGGACCCCTGGGCCTCCCCCCAAGAACAACTCTTCATGCTGAGCCGGTTTCTGACAGCCCTGGGGCATGTGGAGGGCCTCACGAACCGAAAACTGCCAACAAAAACAAAAAGGACACACACAGTTCTCTCAGGGCATGTTTGCTTCATCGCGAGGGCGTGACAAAAGGCGACAGAAAAAGACACTGCTGCTGCTGCTGGAATCCCCGACCGCTTCCCTGCTCAGCAACGCCGCGATCGCTCCTGGACACGTGATACCTGACAGACACGGCGCATGCATCACGTCTCCGACCATGCCACTCGGCATGCCCCGAAAGGCGCCAGTGCCAGCATGGTGCGCGAGCTCAGCCTGTGGCTTTGCACGTTTTAGTTTGCATGCGTTTTGGTTGAAGGCATGTAGAAACGTGTGTTCATTGACTGGAAGAAAGCGGCATCATGTATCTCATGCTGATTGATTGCCTTAGCGTGGGGCACGTGCGCACGCACACACAAGCACGCACGCACACATGCACACATGCACACAACGACAACCACTGGACGCAATACAAAAAACATGCCATGTATATTAGTGATGCAAGCTGGTCAGGGCAGAGCCATGCAAGTGGGGTCTGGATGCATGTCACTGGGAAGAATATTGCAACCACGGATTCTGGACACGCGGAAGAGTCTCATGGTACTGCCGAGAAGCGATGGCATACTGCGGGGCAAAAACCGAAATAAACCAGGCACACCATGCAAACCCGCTGGCGTTCGCACCGGCAACCTGGTATCACTACCTTATGGCGAGCCCAGAATCTGGACACAGGAGAGCGACTGGCAGACAAGATCGAGGCAGACTCGGCTCTCCTCGTTAACCTTCCTCTTCGATTCCCTCCCCCCGCGCGCTCGCGTCGCATCTGACAAGGGGGCACGGCGAGGAGCTAATGCTGAGGTGCTGAAATGGCTGCCCTTGCGGCACGGTTAGAAGAAGAAACAACGCCATAAACACAAACTGTTGCCGCTCCGCGCGGATCTCTTGCATCCGCGCGGAGCACGCCAGGGGCGGCGCCCAAGGAATCCTCGCGCGCCAATCGTTTATGTTTGTGGCGTTGTCTCGAGTGTCGCCCTGCCCCGCAGGACGGGAGGCCGGGAAAAGCTCAGAACGCTGGTGCTCGGGATTCGTGGAACGGGTTCCGCGCGCCGCGCCGAAGCGTGAGGGGCCAGGGATGGCCGAGCAAACGCTCCTGACTCCCCAGGCCCCCGACGAGGTGATTTTTGCATACCGTCGACCCCTCGTGGTCCCGACCCCTTCCCCAGGGCAGTTTTTTTTCCATCCCGAGTCGTCTTTGACGGTCCCGAGGCTCGGTAAGGGGCCCTGGAGGCCGAAAGTAGCGACAAACCTCCCGTCGTGTTTTTTCACCGCGCGAGGGGGTCTGGGTCTCTAGGGGGGGGGGCCGATCGGGCCTGCATCGGGGATGAAGGGGCGATTGGGGTTCGATGCATCGCCCTTGAGACAATTCTCCCGAATAGCGGAATAGCGCTCCCGAGCAACTCTGCGCGCCGCGCGCTGCCGCAACTGGGAGCTTTCAGCTGGGACTCGCAGGGGGTCCCAATGCTCTCCCCAGTGTGTTGTACAGCTGGTGAGCATCTTTTTATCTAGCGTTTCGGCATACTTAGGGCGGAAGGGAGGGGGGAGGGGGGGGTCTTCCTCTGGACCTCTGCTCAGTGCGACTTTTTGCGAGAGTGCTGCCTCTGGGAGAGACTCCGCCCGCTCGGAACAGGCGCCGAGAGAAACAGAGAAGATCTACTCCAAGGGGAGGGGGGGAAAAGGAGGGTGTTGGGCCCGCGCCGATCGGCAAACCAGAAAAACGATCACCTGCACGGCTTCTGACTTTTGCTGATTTGCCAGTGCGGCGTGTAGGCGCCAGGCCCGAACTCAAGACCTCGGTCTTCGGGTCACAACTCGGCTCTCTGTCGGCCATGCGCGACGATCCGGGCACTCCAGGAACGCTCTCGGCCAGGCGCAGCTGCTGGAGAGCACTCCGAGGCTAGAAAACCGCTGAGAACAGCCGCAAACGCCCGAAAAACTCTACCCTCTAGCCTCGAACCCTCCCCCCCTTAGCCTATCCACCCATCATGCGGCACCTGCGCGGAGGAACAAAACCCAGCGTAAACAGAACCTTTTGGAGGTTCCGCGCGGATTTTTTGGATCGGCGCTGGACTCCCCTCCTTGGCGCGCGGAGCGCGCCCGGGGCGGCGCCGGAGGCGCCGCCAGGGGGGAGCCCAGCGCCGATCCAAGAATTCCGCGCGCACCTCCGAACATTTATGTTTATGTCGTTGGTTCGTTCCTCTACTGCGGGGGGGAGGCGGCACGGCCTCTGGCCCGAGCCTTGGCATTTGCGACATGTCAGATCGCTCAACATCGACCAATTCTGGGTCGCTGGCGGAGATCAACATTGAACGCTGGCTGCGGGGTCGCCGCCGGTCGACACGACAAGATGGGGTCGGAGGATCGAGCCGCATCGTCGATGCCTTATCGATGCATCGGCGATGCATCGGTGACGTCGGCGATGCATCGGCGCCATCGGCGTGGAGAAAATCGGGCTCCACATCGAGCCGCATCGGCGATGCATCGGCGATGCGGCGCGATCCTCCGACCCCAGCTGCTCGGACCCCATCTGGGAGGCAAAGAGGGTAACGCTGCCCCTAATGGATGCGACGATCGGCGGAGGCACGAGGCGAACCCGGCGGTGGCACCGGGGCCACCCAGGAGTCCCAGAAAGGCGAAAACGAGGGGAAGGTAGCGGCATCGGTACCTCTTCCTCCTCTGACGCAAGACCCTAGACACCCGATGTCGTGTTTTTTTTTTTTTTTCACAGCGTCGACCCACAAGAAGTCTAAACACCTTCCCCGGGACAGGTTTTTCATCCCGAGTCGTTTTTGTTGACGGTCCCGAGGCCTGGTAAGGGCCCCCAGAGACCGAAAATAGCGAACAACCTCCCGTCGCGAGTGGAGCTCTGGGGAGGAGCTCGTCACCCCACAACGTGGCCCCTGCGGGGGGGGGCCGAGCTCGTACGATCGGACTCCGGCTCCGGCTCGGGTCCGTGCTTGAAACCTCAGGCTCAGAGTCGGGTCCAGCTCGGCTCGTCACTCACCGACCTTGCAGACGTGCTGCAGCGGATTGTTGCGTGGAACTTCCGCCAATGCAAGACCCCGAAACGGCGAGTGAAAAACGAAGTGAATTTCGCGTGGATGTTTTTAGTCTTCATTCTGGACCCCAAAAAAAATCGGCACGAAATCCCACCAACCCTCTGGGCGTAGGTGGTTTAGAGAGTTTCCTCTTCCACCCCTCCTTCTTCCCACCACTCCCCCTACCCCCTCCCCTGGACCTGGACAGGGGGTTCCGCGAGGTGTCGGAGCGTCCAAAATGGCTTCGGCGAGGAAGCCAAAATCATTAGTTTTACTATGGGTTTGGCCCCATTTTGGCCTCTTGGGGGGGAGGACGCTAATTGTGACCACCCCCTCTTGTTTGATCGATCTCCTCCAAGATGGCCCCAAGAAGCGCCCAGGAGGCCCCAACAGGTCCCAGGACGGCCCCAAGATGGCCCCAAGAGTCCCCCAAGAGGCCCCCAGGAGGCTCCCAAAAGGATCCCAAGCGGCCCCAAGAGGCCCCCCCGAAGCATCCAAGACGCCGAAGAGCCCCCCACGACCGCCAAGAGACCCCCAAGACTTCCCAAAACGCCCAAGAGATACCCCAAGAGGCTCCGAGAAGCATCCAAGAGACCTCTGGCCCTTTTGTTTGCTCTCCTCCTCCTCCTTCCTCCTCCTATCCCTTCTCATACTCCTCCTCCCCCTCCGCATCCTCCTCCTCCTCCTCCTCCTCCTCCTCCTCCTCCTCCTCCTCCTCCTCCTCCTCCTCACCTGGCTTTAGGCCGCTGTCTCATCTCATCTCATCTCACCTCCTCTCCTCCTCCTCCTCCTCCTCCTCCTCCTCCTCCTCCTCCTCCTCCTCCTCCTCCTCCTCCTCCTCCTCCTCCTCCTCCTCATGCTATTCATCCTCTTTCTCCCTACTCCCTCATCCATCCATCCAATTTTCTTTTTCGCCCCCTCTTTCCTTCGCACGGTTCGGCCGTCCCCGTCTTTGCTCCCGCACTTCCCTGATCACCTCTCAACTCGCCTGGACATTGTTTCTGGATTGGTTGGTGGGGATATTTTTTAAGTCAGCGGCCGCGGGCGAGCGCGCCGGCGGCGTGTCAGGTCAAAACGGGCCACGCAGAGACGAATTTGGCAAGGGAAACGCGGGAAGAACAAACAGAGCGACGGGCGAGGCGACAATTAAGCGCGGCCGAAGCCTCAAATGGGGGGCTGCCGGGGCTGAGTTGAGGGGAGCTGCCAGCGCGCTCAGCTGCAAGTCAGTCGGAGGCGTCACGCGTCGGAAAGTCAACGACGGCCAGGGACAACTCCGAGAGAGAAAACGTGACACCGTACCTCAGACGACTGCGTGGGCACCAGGGTGGCCGTGGCCAACGAAATGTCGGTCGAGGTGGTGAAAAGAGAAATGCAAAGGCGAGGCCCCGGACGGCGCGAAGCGCGGAAACCAGGGTGGCCCAAAGGACCGTCGACCAAAGAAGTGTTGCCAGAGGCGAAGCGTTGGCAGGCTGCAACTGCCAGGATGGCGGAAGCCGAAGGACCCCTGGCAGCAGCGCGCACGAGTCGGGGAGCCGCGACGCAAACCAAGATTGCGCGGGTCACCACGTACCTATGCGAGAGCGGGTATCAGGTTGACCCAGCGCGGGCCCGTCGAGGCACAACGCACAGGGTACTTTTTTTATTTGCGGCCCGCAAGGAGAAGTCCAGAGGGCGGTATGACCGAGGCTGGGGCACAGCGACAGAGAATTGGCGCGAGAACGCGCGAAATGCACCTGCAAACAAATTAAGAAGAGGGGCGGCCACAATGGGGCAACCATCGAGCACAGGCCAAACCCGCAGGTGGGGCCGGACCGAAACCCTGCCGGAGGCACGCTGACCCAAGCAACCGCTGGGCAGATGCCAGCAGAAGAGGGCGGCCACGGATGGGCAGACAGAAAACAGGCCGGACCCGCAGGTGGAGTACCGACCGGCATCCGGAGCGGAGGGGGCCGGGGGGCGCGAGCGAAGAAAAAGAGCGCAACCGGGGAGGAAGCGTGGCGGACTCACTCACGTGGCACCCAGTGCGTGTACGTCACCGAGAACGCCGAGCACTCACCAAGCCACCGATGGGGGGGAGGCCAGTAGGCCCACGTCAGGAACTTCGACAGGTGACGCACAAGGAACGCACAGGGTACGCGAAGCGTCTAGAATTCACCTCGAAATCCGGAACGAAATTCTCCAGGACACACCAGGTTCGTCCCGTTGAAATCCGAACGACATCCGCTCTGCGATGTTGGCGCCATGACGGCTCGGGCTTTCAGGCTTGAGCCCCAGATATGCGACGTCCTGAGTTTTCCATAAGGGGCCCCTGGAAGTCCCGACCTTTTCCCCAGGACCGGTTTCTACTCCTGAGTCGTTCCTAGACCCCCGACGTCTTGATTTTTTCACAACGTCGACCACCCGAGTTCTGGACCTCTTCCCTGGGACCGGTTCTTTATCCCGAGTCATTTTTGGACGGCCCCGAGGCCCGGCGGGGGCCCCCCCGAGGCCGAAAGCAGCCAAAAGGCTCCCGCCCTGATTTTCTTTGCTGTTACGACGCAATGTTGGGGTCACAAAGCAAGAACGCCAGCTCGGGTTCAGGCTCGGACCCTTACCGGTTCGGTGCAACTCATGGGAGCCTCCCATACCATCTTGTCGGCTCTTGCGAATCGACGCTGGTCGACGCTAAATCGACACTCATCGACGCTGCATCGATGCAAAATCGGCGCTTTCTCATCGAGTCCCAGACGCTCATAGACGCGAGGGCATACGAGGCTCCCATGACTTGCTACCAAACTCCTGGGAGGTGCCAAGGCCCGCTGGAGTGCCCGCTCCGGCTCGAGGGCTCGGGCTCGGACTCCCCGGGAGGAGGAGGAGGAGGAGGAGGAGGAGGAGGAGGAGGAGGAGGAGGAGGAGGAGGAGCAGGAGGAAGAGGAGGAGGAGGAGGAGGAGGAGGAGGAGGAGGAGGAGGGAGGAGGAGGAGGAGGAGGAGGAGGAGGAGGAGGAGGAGGAGGAGGAGGAGGAGGAGGGGGAGGAGGGGGGAGGGAGGAGAGGGGAGAGGAGGAGGAGGAGGAGGAGGAGGAGGAGGAGGAGGAGGAGGAGGAGGAGGAGGAGGAGGAGGAGGAGGAGGAGGAGGAGGAGGAGGAGGAGGAGGAGGAGGAGGAGGAGGCGGAGGGGGAGGAGGAGGAGGAGGAGCAGCAGGAGGAGGAGGAGCAGGAGGAGGGGGGGGGGGGAGGGGGAGGAGTTGAGGAGGAGGAGGGGGTGAGGAGGAGGGGGTTGAGGAGGAGGAGGGAGCAGGAGGAGAGGAGGAGGAGGAGGACCAGCAGTGAACGAGGAGGAGGAGGAGGAGGAGGAGGAGGAGGAGGAGGAGGAGGTGAAGGAGGAGGAGGAGGAGGAGGAGGAGGAGGAGGAGGAAGACGAGGAAGAGGCGGCGAGGCCTCGATCCTCTGCGCCAGCGTGGCCAGCACCGACGCGGCGGTGTACACCTCCCGCTCCTCGGGCAGCGGGCGGCCCCGCGGGGGGCCCTGTGCGCAGGCAGGCGGCGCAGACGACGGACCCAGACAGGTAGGCGACCCGAGGAGGAGGAGGAGGAGGAGGAGGAGGAGGAGGAGGAGGAGGAGGAGGAGGAGCAGGAGCAGGAGCAGCAGGAGGAGGAGGAGGACAAGGAGAAGGACGAAGAGGAGGAAGAGAAAGAGGAGGAGGAGAAGGAGGAGGAGGGAGAGGAGGAGGAGGAGGAGGAGGGGGGAGGAGGTGTAGCAGGAGGAGGAGGAGGAGGAGGAGGAGGAGGAGGAGGAGCAGAGCAGCAAGGACAAGAGAGGAGGAGGAGGAGGAGCAGGAGAAGAGGAGGAGGAGGAGGAGGAGGAGGAGGAGGAGGAGGAGGAGGGGGAGTGGGAGGAGGAGGAGGAGGAGGAGGAGGAGGAGGAGGAGGAGGAGGAGGAGGAGGAGGAGGAGGAGGAGGAGGAGGAGGAGAGGAGGAGGAGGAGGAGGAGGAGGAGGAGGAGGAGGAGGAGGAGGGGGAGGGGGAGGAGGAGGAGGAGAGAGAGGAGGAGGAGGAGGAGGAGGAGGAGGAGGAGGAGGAGAGGGAGGAGGAGGAGGGAGGAGATCCCCCAAGCCCTTCGGGGAAACCCTCTACCCAGACCCCCTCACGTCGTGCAAAGATCACGACGGGAGGTTTTTCGCTCGGGCTCGTGCCCGAGCGGGGCTCGGGATCGACGAAAAGTCCCGATCGCCCGAGCTCGGGCTCGGCCCCCCCCCCCCACCGCAGGGGCCACGGTGTGGGGGGACGAGCTCCTTCCCAGAGCTCCTCGCGTCGTGACCAAAACACGACGGGAGGGGTCGCTATTTTCGGCCTCTGGGGGCCTTTGCCGGGCCTCGGGGCCGTCAATAAACGATTCAGGATGACATCACGACGGGAGGTTTTTCGCAATTTTCTGCCTCGGGGGGCCCTTGCCGGGCCTCGGGGCCGTCAAGAAACGATTCAGGATGAAAAACTGGTCCTGGGGAAGAGGTCTAGACCTCGGGGGGTCGACGTTGTGATTATCCCGGCAAAGCAACCTAACAGCGATGTGTAGAAGCATATCTGGAAGCATTCCCCTTAAGATTTAGGTGAGAATCCAGGTAGAATTCTGCTGTTCTCGCAGTCGCAGCCTCAGCCTGCCTCGGCTTGCCTCGGCCTCAGCCTCAGCCTGCCTCGGCCTCAGCCTCAGCCTCAGCCTGCCTCAGCCTCAGCCTCAGCCTCAGCTTGCATCAGCTTCAGCCTGAATCAGCCTCAGCCTCAGCCTGCCTCAGCCGCTCTCAGCCTCAGCCTTGCTTCAGCCTCAGCCTCAGCCTGCCTCGGCTTGCCTCGGCCTCAGCCTCAGCCTGCAGCCTCAGCCTCAGCCTCAGCCTGCCTCAGCCTCAGCCTCAGCCTGCCTCAGCCTCAGCCTGCATCAGCCTCAGCCTCAGCCTGCCTCAGCCTCAGCCTCAGCCTCAGCCTCAGCCTCAGCCTCAGCCTCAGCCTGCCTCAGCCTCAGCCTCAGCCTCAGCCTCAGCCTCAGCCTGCCTTCAGCCTCAGCCTCGGCCTCAGCCTCAGCCTCAGCCAGCCTCTCAGCCTCAGCCTCAGCCTCAGCCTCAGCCTCAGCCTCAGCCTGCAGAGCCTCAGCCTCAGCCTCAGCCTCAGCCTCAGCCTCAGCCTGCCTCAGCCTCAGCCTCAGCCAGCCTGCAGCCTCAGCCTGCCTCAGCCGCAGCTTGCCTCAGCCTCAGCCACAGCCTCAGCCTCAGCCTGCCTCAGCTTCAGCCTCAGCCTCAGCCTGCCTCGGCTTGCCTCAGCCTCAGCCTCAGCTTACCCCGGCCTCAGCCTCAGCCTCAGCCTGCCTCAGCCTCAGCGTCAGCCTCTCAGCCTCAGCCTGCATCAGCCTCAGCCTCGGCCTCAGCCTGCCTCGGCCTCAGCCTCAGCCTGCCTCAGCCTCAGCCTGCCTCAGCCTCAGCCTCACAATTGGCTCCGGGCAATCGAAATGCATCCTGGGAATTATGTTCTGGGAACACGAAGAACACGAAGTGAAGTGGCCTACAGTTGGCTCCGGGCATTCAAAATGTGGCCCGGGAATGATGTTCTGGGAACACGAAGAGCACGAAGTGGCCTACAGTTGGCTCCGGGCATCCAAAATGTGGCCCGGGAATGGAGTTCTGGGAAGTCGAAGAGCACGAAGTGGCCTACAGTTGGCTCTGGGCATCCAAAATGTGGCCCGGGAGTGGAGTTCTGGGAAGTCGAAGAGCACGAAGTGGCCTAAAGTTAGCTCCGGGCATTCAAAATGTGGCCCGGGAATGGCGTTCTGGGAGCGCCAAGAGCGATTTTGCGAGGATGTCCCAGGCGATTTGGGCTTCGGCGGCAGCCGCCCCGGGTCCCGCCCCGACCCCCCTGAGGAGTCATGATGCTCTCTTTTGACCCCACTAGAAACCTATCAGTCTTCGCTGTTAGGTAAAAAAATCACGACGTCGGGGGGTCTGGGGAGCAATCGGCATCCGGCGGGGTTCGACGACGCGCCCGGCCACGAGAGCAAAAAGAGCCACCGCCGCCAGAATTCCACCCCTGACATCCTGGCGTTACAAATTGCTCACACCTTGTCCGGGCCCCGGGACCCTCACATATCGATCCGGCTCGAAAAATGATGCAGAAGATGGGGTCCGGGGCTCCGGTCGTGATTTTTTGTGATGTTGTATTTTTGGGGGGCAACGTCGGTTCTGGAGGATGGAACTCTGTGCCCGAAGGCCCCCCCTCCGAGCTGGTGGCACTCCGTTCCGTCTGGGGGCGCGCCCGGAACGAGGTGCCACCAGCTCGGGGGGTGGAGCGGCCAGCCCTGGTTCTTTCTTCTGGTGACTGGGGGACCCCTTGGGGGCGTCAGGGATGCCTTGCGGCGGCCTCCTGGGGGCCTCTTGGGCCGCCTCACGGTCGGGGGCCTTTGGACAGCATGTCGCGGCGGCGGCTCCCACGACACACCGTGCCTTGCAAGCGGATGGCGTGTCGCTCCGCTCCGCGGGGCGGAAAGCTCGGACGGGCTCGGGACATTGGCGCTTGGAAATGGTGGATACCGTGTCGCGCCAGAAGCGTGGTGGGCCCGAGCTGGTGTCTCCGGCCGCAGGCCCTCCCGCAACTGTCCTGGGGGTCTCCTGGAGGCCTCTCTCGGGCCATCTGGGGGGGCCCGTCGGGGGCCTCTTCTGCTGCCTGGGATCTTGGCCCGGGGGCGGCAATCTTCGCCCGGTGCTCGCTCAGATCCTGCCGCAACACCCGCAAAATGAGGTCCCGCACACGATGGGGCCCCACACAACATGATCCCGCACGATAGGGCCCCACAGGCTGAAGATCCACACGCGACAGGTTACCACACGCCAAGGTTCCACACAACAGGACTCCATGCGATGGAATTCCACACGCCATGGGGCCCCCACGATATGCTCCCGAAAGACACTGTCCGGCACGATGGTGTCCCACACGGTGGAAATCCGCAAACCGTAGATAAATGCGTTACACGATGAAGTCCCACACGATCGGAACCAACAGAATCGCACCACACATCATGTTACCTCACTCTGGGGAGACCATGCTGGCATCGTGTCCTGATGCTTCGCGGCGTCTTCGGCCACAGGGGAAAAAAAGGCGCGCTTACACCTTTGGCCCCTCGACGTTGGGACCCTGGGAACAGCGCGGGGGGACGGGCAAACCACTCCGTGGAGGATGGGGAGGACGAGGAGACACCAGTGGGGTTCCCCAAAATGTCACCCAAAGAGGAAGTTCGAAACATAGATCAACTCGTCCACCTGCGTCCCGACGGCCGACCCTGGGGCTCCCAAAGTCTTCCAACCATGTCCGCCTCGACCACCTGACCTGTATCGAAGCGTGGTTGAGGCCAGCTCCCTATATGGAGTACTGCACTGAGCTGATTTGCGTCAAAGTTTGGGCCCCACGACGAGAGAGCAGGAATGATGGTGGAGCCTGCCGTCTCCGAGTACACCGCGATGACCCGGCCGTTTCCCGACGCGGTCGGCGTCTTGGCCCAGAACAACGTGCCAGGTGGCCCGAACTCTACCACTTTAATCAAAACAGCTGTAGAATGACGCTTGAAGATGTTTTGAAACTTACCCGAAGCATTGACATATGGACGCTTATGCGGCGCCATCTCTGCCATGACTCTCACAGGCGAAACTTGATTGACTGCCTAGAGCGTGTCGAGCTCCGACTTTTGCACCATGTCAAGCGCGGCGACGGCAGTTCCAAACCTCTTTGCTCGAAGTTGCTTGCAGGAAGAACAGGCGGATCCGACTGTAGCCGAAAGTCCGTCCACTGGTTTCCTCGCGGGAACGCTCCAAGCCAATTATATCCTCAATCGCCGTGCCTGCCACCGCCCTCGAAGTCACAATCTCATGTAGGATCGAATCTGCAATCGACTGCTGGAGCAATTGTTCTCCCCAACGTGCATAGTCGCTCCAGTCCGTGACCGCCCTTTGGGCTAGCGATGGCTGTTACCGGCACGCGTACTCCCTCCCACACTAGAAGCATCGGTCTTGCATGCTCGTAACTGTGCAAACTCAATACGCAACGAGATAATGCCCGAAGCAGTTGTATCTGCCAACGTTTTGATCTGTGCCAGCGCTGATCTATTTGCAGCTATGGCGGCCTCCATCGGTTCGAGTCGCACCTCGAGCTTCTCCTCAATCCCTGGCACGAGCCCCTTCGCGGCAGTGCCCCACCATGAAGCGCTTCCTGGCGAGGGGTCACGAATGGTAGCCTCCCGACGAGCAGCAGCCTGTTGCATGGCCTCAGCGGCAGGCGCGCTTGCGCTGGCAGCGCGGCCAAAGGGCCCTGGGGCAGTCTTGCGAGCATCTTCCGCCACGGCTGATGCGAGGTGTCCTGTTTGCTGCACTTCTCGCAAGAACACGTCAAGATCCTCTCAAGTCTGATGGCCGATATCCTCGAGACCAAACTCGTAAACCTGCACGCAGTCCGACGCTGGCCCAACAA